CCAGATTGGGTGGCTGGGGAATTCTGGGAGTTGAAGTCCACCTATCTTAAAGTTGCTAAGGTTGAGAAACACCGCAGTAGTGAATTTGCTTTCCCAATTCGATTATCAAAGGAATTCTTGCCGAAACCATTTCGTTCTCAATTACGATGCCAGCTTCGCACCGAAACCACCCAACCCCGTCCTCGAAACCGCCCTTCGCGCCCGAGAAAGCCCTCGTAAAGCCGCCCCAGCCTCGCCCCCGCCTTTCCTGATCGCGTCATTATAGAAACGACCGTTCTTCCGGCTCTGGCTCCGCCCTTTCCTCTTTTGGATCCCGCCTCCCGGTTTCCAGCCTGGAGACAGAGAGTGTAAGGGCTTCGAATGACTTTGGGGGAGGGGGCGGCAAACGGGTTTTCCCGGGACCGGGAGAAAGTGGTGTTTTCCTCCCTCTGTGGGGCAGGGGGCCGGACGGGAACGGTGGGTTCGCGCGAGCTGCACGGGGAGGCAAGATAGTTTCGAGCGCTGTCTCCCGCTCGGCACCTCCTCTAAGATCTCCGGTAGAGAAGAGTCTTCATGTCGGTGTCAGGATCTTAATGTTGGTGTCAGGTGCCACGTTTGCACCTTCTAGGCCAAAATGGGGATGGCTGGTTCGTGGCTCAGTGTTGTGGCAAGCCAGCCATTGTCTTAGAACTGCATCATCACCACATTAAGCCATCATATAGTTTGTTTAGGTACGGTTTGATGTATGACCACAACAGTTGTGCTTTGTGAATGCAAGTCTAACATGCTGCCCTTGTTACTACAGCATTAATATCCCTGCTATGGGATGAGCATTGAAAGGGAAGAATATAGATGTCTTCAAGAGTTTTTTTAAGGCTAAAATACTCTATGCCCATTTGCTAGAGGTACTGTTGTTGCTTGTTATAAACAGAATTTGAAGTTACAGCTCTTTCTGGCTTTGGTACCAGCCGCCTATGGATTTTTGATTGCTGATAAGTATAAGTAATTGAAAGCTGTGTGTGTAACCCTTTTGCTTCCTCATTCAGCCTAAACTACATTTACAGAGTAATCTAGATTTTAATCAGAAATAAGTCTCGGTATGTTCAGAGCGACTTACTTCTATTTAAGTAAATGTGCACAGAATTTTAACTTCATCTGAAAAAGAAAATATTGCCCCTGTCCTTAAAATACATCTACTCCAGCTTCCTCAGTTCTGTAGACCAATGACTTGTACTGATGGCATTGTGGGTAAGACTATGTGTCTTGTTTTAAAACACTGAAATATTTATTTAGTGCAGGAATAAATTAAATTAATAAGAGCTAGATTATGCAATATTTCTATAGTAATGTCTTTTCATTTTTTTTTAAAGGGAGATAAGATTGAGAAGTATCCCAGTCTTCTGGTATGATCCTTCAGTCAATAAGAGCTAGTATTTCAGGGGTAACTACAGAGTTAGGAATTATTGTATGACATGTGCCAGTGTATAAGAACTCTCCTTTGCTACCAGTGTACTGCACTTTGAGCTTGGGAAAGAAGCATAATGCCATTATATTGATTTAATTTAAGCCACTTCCTTTTTGAAACAAATGTACAGAACTGAGTAGCTCATAAAAATTATGTAATACTAATAGTTCACACATTGTGCTGAGCCTAAACAAAATGTTTAAAAATACATATTATGGTTAGCATAAGTTAGCATAAATTTTGATGGCCTGAAGCCTATTTAATTTTATGAAATACACTGTAGTCCATAGAAACTAATCCTGCAAAAAAAGTATAGTGCTTTAAGGTGACAGGAAAATCCATTCTCATCATTAAAATCTAGACAGCACAATGAAAATGCTTGTTTTTCATTGTATACATCTGTTCTGCTGCCTCAGTATGTATTTTTTATTTTATTTTATTTATTGTATTTTATTTTTTTCAGTGAACTCAACATTTTTTGCATCCTATACTACTACAAAACTGCAGTAATGTATTTAACTATTTGCTACAAGCCTTACTGTACTTCTAGAATGTTTTTCTTGAATAAGAAGCAGGCTAGATAAGAAAACAAAGACGAAGTCTTTTCACAAGGTTAAGAAAACTAAACTGTTTAGATTTATTATTGACTGTTTGAACCTGTTAGCCCTGATGAAGTGGACAGGGTCATCAGAGCTGTGAATGCAACCACCTGTGTTTTAGATTCCTGTCTCTCCTTGTCGATTAAGGTATCCCTGGAGGTGGCAGGCAGTTAGGTCTGGGCAGTGGTAAATCCTTCTCTGCGGGAGGGGATGGTTCCATCTGCCCTGAAAGAGGTGGTTCTTCACCCCCTCCTCAAGATACCATCACTGGACCCAACAGATCTGAACAATTTTTGTCTAGTCTCCAGAAGGTACTTGGATTACAGCTGGAGGGCCCTGGAAGAAGTGGATTTTCTGGACTCTTCTCAGTCAGAATTCAGGCCTGGTTATAGTACTGAGACAGCATTGGTCATGCTTGTTGATGAATTCTGGCAGGCTTGGGATGGGAGTAGTGCATCCATCCTGACCCTCTTTGGTCTCTCAGCAGCCTTTAATACCACTGATCATGGTACCCTTCTGGGCTGGCTCAGGATTGGGGCTGGGAGGCACTGTATTCTCCTTTCTCCAGGGTTAGTTCCAGTCGGTGATGGTAGGGGGAAGAGGTAGAGCCTGAGGCCCCTGCTTTATGGGGTGCCTCAGGGTTCTACCCACTCCTGTTTAACATCTACATGAACTCTTGGGTGAGGTCATCCATCAGCATGGGGTGCGGTATCATCAGTAGGTTGATGATACCCAATTGTACATCTCCTCCCTGGGCTGACTAAACAATGCTGTCAAGGTCCGTTTCCAGTGCTTGGAGGCTGTGAGGGTCTGGATGGGGGAGAACAGGTTTTGGCTCAACCCTGCCAAAATGGAGACACTGGATTTTAAGCCCCCCCGGGTTCCGAGGATATTCCATCTTTTACTGTGCATGGGGGTGCACTTCCCCAGTCAGAGTTGGTGCACAATTTGCGGGTCTTCTTGGACTTCTAATCTGCCATTAGAAGAGCAGATGGCAGCCATGGCCAGGGGGGCTTTTGCACAGGTTTGTCTTGTGCACCAATTGCACTCCTGGACCAGCAGTCACCTGCTCATGGTGACTCATGCCTTAGTCATCTCCTGCTTGGATTACTGTAACACACTCTACACGGGGCTGCCCTTGAAGAGCACTCAGAAGCTGCAGCTGGTCCAAAATGCAGTAGCATGGGCAGTTTTTGGCATTCCTTGTTACACCATGTAACACACTCTTCTGCAAGCTGCACTGGCTCCCAGTAGGCTTTTGGGTGCAATTCAAGGTGCTGGTCATTACCTATAAAGTCCTTCACGGCATAGGGCCAGATTACTTCTGGGACTGCCTGTCTCCAATTGTTTCTGCCCACCCCACTAGATCTAGTGGAGAGCACATGCTCCTGGTCCCGTCTGTTAAACAGTGTCATCTTGGTGGACCCTGGAGTCGTGTCTTCTCAGTGGCAGACCTGCCTTATGAAACAGTATCCCCCTGGAGATTCAAATGGCCCCAACCCCGTTAGCCTTTTGCAAGGCATTGAAGATCTGGCTGTTCCCCCAGATATTTGGATGAGGAGGTAGATGAACTCTTGTTGTTGTTGTGGGTGAGCTGAATTAATGGTTTTCTTGGGTGCCAGGGAGTTGTCTAGTGGGGTTGTTTTAATCTTGTAAGCCACCCAGAGTCAATTGTGTGAGATGGGCAGCTATATAAATCATATAAATAAATAATCATTTCTCAGATGAACATTGGAATACTGTATAGGAAAAATTGTTTTTAGCATAATGTTTTCTAGGTTTGTTGGCTTCAACAATGCATCTAAGTTCATTATTAAAATGATGCTTGCATTTGTTTTATAGAATACTTGAATGATAGCAACCAAGCCATGTCGGCATTACGTGGAGCTGTTCATGCAAAATGGATCGTAGGAAAAGTAATTGGAACCAAAATGCGCAAAACAGCTAAAGTGAGAGTAACAAGGCTGGTGCTGGATCCTTACTTACTAAAGGTAAAACTTTCTTCAGAGCTAGGAGTTTAGCTGTTAAGCCTCAACTTCTTAAATCATTTCTTTTCTCAGCTTAGCCTAACTCATGGAGTTACCGAGAAGAAAAATTATTATGAGACCTTCTGAGGAAAGATGACATACAAATATAATGTTATGACTATATTAGACGCTGTGTGTCTTGAAAAGTGGTCTTCAACCACTTGATGCCAGCTCCTAATTTTAACACTAATATGCAGTTAATTCTAATTAGCTTTATCTAGTCTGATAGTAACTTTATAATGTTTCTATCTAAATACATTATTTTAAAATTAAAAAGCAGAAAAATTAAGGGAGGAAGAAGAAGACACAAGGTTGTATTGACTTGGGAAATGTAGTATGTCGCAGACACAGAAAATGTTGGCATTGGTTAAAGTTTATATGTAGTTTTTAAAGCAAAAACTGATTGAAAACTCTAGTTACCCATAAAACCCTGGCACAAATCACAAATATATTGAGTTAGCTATGGGTAATAGTGAAGAAAATTAATTCTGTACATATTTAGTTTATAATTCTAGTGACTGAATTGCAGCACTGACAATTGGTTCAGTTAGTTGTGATTATCTATCTATCTATCTATCTATCTATCTATCTATCTATCTATCTATCTATCTATCTAATCTAGCATATTTTACAACTCTAGAGAAGACCTGTTAAGAGTCTCCTTTCCTCATGAGGTACATGGCATGTGGACAAGGTGACAAACCTTCTCCGTAGTAGCCCCCACTTTGTAGAATACTCTCCCCCAAGGTATGTGTGGTCCCCACTTTGTTTCTATTATGAAAGCTAGTTAAATTCATTTTTCAACAAGTCTTTGGCTCTGGCTGACTGAGAGTATCAATTGTAGGCTTTGAATTAAGATTTCATTGCCTTTTTTTAAAAAAATGGTTTAAGTTTTCTTGTATGCTCCCCAGAGTTCTTTGGGATTGAAGTGGATTACAAATGCTGTTAAATAAACAAACACTGGTGGGTAAGCTTCATAGATGGGGTCGTCTTCATTTCAGTCATTTCTCTCTCATTATTGGGTGAAATCTCATTGATGCAGGAATATCAGAGCTGTATATTTCAGCTACTGTATTGTTCTTCAATATTAGCACCAATGAGTAAAATATCAAATTAGGAATGGAATTAGGAGTAATATTTGCAGTTTGGAAAGTTCACTGGGTAATATCAAATAAGTTCTCTGTCTGGCTAAATTACAGACATATAGTTGTCACATGGATAAAGCAAATGGAGGCATATTGTATATCTGCATCAAGTCTTATGAATTAAGAGTAATTAAAGTTTTAACTGTTTTTTAATTGTCTTTAAATCTAAAGCCTTTAGATTAGTGAAAGTATTTTATATGGTGTTTCCCACTACCACTACCAAGCACAAAAGCTGGCTGGGTAACCTTGGGCTAGTCACTCGCTCTCAGCCTAAATCAGTGTTAGGCTCTGCAACAAGCTAATTGAAAAATGATACCCCTTGCCACATCATGCACCAATAAACTTCACTGTAAGAACTAAGGCAGCATAGTACAAAGCAAGTAAAGACTGCAACTAAGCAGGAGAAAGAACAATATCATTTTCTTTGGCATTTCTTCCAATTCAAATTTCAGGTGCTTCTATATATCACAGTACTGTATGCTAGTGAAGATTTTGAACTCATGTCACTCAAGGTATTATTTTAATCCTTCCAAAATAACACAACCACCAACCATTGATCTTCGTGCTCTTTTCCCTCTTCTTCTACAGTTCTACAACAAGCGAAAAACATACTTTGCTCATGATCCTCAGCAGCAGTGCATCGAGGGAGACATTGTCCTTCTGAAAGCTTTGCCTGAACGAAGGAGCAAGCATGTGAAACATGAGCTTGTAGAGATTGTGTACAAGGTTGGAAAAGTAATTGATCCACTGACAGGGAAGCCCTGTGCAGGCCAGAAGTTCCTGAAAAATGTAACGGACACAGAAAATCTGACTGATAGAGATACTAGCTTTCTTAGTGAAAAACTCCAAGAACTAACAGTTTCTTCTCCAGACAAATGAAGGGTTGGAAGATAAGTTGGGACTTTTCTGTCTGTCTCAAAGAAAAGGTTTTATGTGACATATGTAGGAAGCATGTTTAATAATAAACTGGAGTGTGTACATGCAATAAAATATTACGTTTGTTTTTAAAGTATATGTTCACTCCTGCCTGAAAGTACATAAAGCAAAATACAAACTGAATGCTTTAAAAAATTCCAGTAAAGGCACTAGAATCCCATAAAAAACGATATAATAAAAAAAGCAAATCAAAGATCAAAAACAGCAAACAAAATGAAGAAATACTGTGTTTTATTAGTGGAACTAGTTACTTGTTTACTCTAATGTTTCCTTGGAGTGAGATTTATTTGCTTCCTGTAAATATGGAGAACTCTGCTGAGCCTTTTTCTGAGAAGCCTATTCAGTTCAGTTGTTTCACTTTCTAGGAATAATGCTGTTTTTAGGGTTTAATTTTTTTAACCATTTATGGATAATGAGAGGATCACTTGGTAAAAATGTTTGGATAGCAATTTCCATCATCAGTACTTTCCTCCTCATACTGCTGATAGCTGGCTAAAATTCTTCCTGGCCAGAATTTCATTCTCCTAAATACTCTCCTATATACTAATAGATATAATAGTATATCTACTATAGTACTGTATTGATATATACATTCACTATGTCTTGAATCAAATTTGACTCCGGTGATGAGTATATGGGCCTTGTACTCATAAAACTGTAAATAAAAACCTACATCTTGTAGGGTTTTTTTTTTTTTTGCCAACAATACAGAATTAGCTGTCCCTATCTATAGCCCTAGAGTTTTCTGGTGGACTTCCTTCTGAGTATTATACTAACAGCAACCAATTCTGCTTTGCTTTTTTGGGATCAGTTTAGGTGTCCCTAGGTGACATGGGCATATACTGCCAAAAAAATTGTAAGTTCATTTTATAAAAATGTCCTAATTTTAAAAAAGGAAATAAAAGTGTACTGGGGAGAAGGGTGGATCTAAAGAGTTGGTCTGGCTTTAAATCAAAATCTTCATCCAGAATTTGGGAGGTGAGCACAATCTGCATGAACACCTAGGGAGATACTTTGTGAATGAAATGCACTATGTGTATGTTCAGCAATATCTTTTGCTTTGGTAACCATCACTATATCTAAAATCCCCACCAAGGCTGTATTCCCTGCCAGATAGTGGGGAGAAGAAAAAAAACCCTTTCTTCTCGTGCTCTTGGGGAGGGTCCCATCTTAATATTCTCCCATTTCCTCAGGATGGGCTGCTTGCTTTTGAACGTGGCTAAGCCTGTGAAAATCTTGCAGGTAGGAAAAAGAGCAGTAGCGAGGTTTATTAGCGGGCTGCTCTCCTAAAATCTTTTTTGGCTACTCCATTTACTCCTCCTTTCAGTCGCGTCATATGTGCGGCTTAACGCAGACCGCGAACCCGCGCGGAGCTCGCGAGCATCCCGCACTGCGCGCGAGGCTGACCGGCCCTCCGCCCCGCATCCCCTTCGCCGAACTGTCCTCGCAATCCCCGAGGCCCTCTAGTGGCTGACGAGGCGCATCGCGCCCCTCACTCTCTCGGCCTGCTCCCCCCCCCGCCCCAGCGTAGGTGGTCAAGATGGCGGTCGGGGCGCTGCTGTGGGGGAGCGGGGGCCGCCTCCGCCGTGGCCCCTTCTTAGCACCGGGGGCCAGTTCCCGCCTTTTCTACCTCAGGTGAGCGAAGCTGCAGGGGGAGGAGAGGGAAGAGTGTCTCGCGCGCGTCCCCCCCTCCCGCGGTGGCCGTCATCCTCAAGGTCACGGGCCAGTCAGGTGGTTTCTTAGGGGCTCCCCCTTCCCTTCGCTCAGGGCACTTGCGGGGGAGGGGAGGGCAGAGCTCCAGCCCTGTCCAGAGAATTGCTGTAAATGCACCAATGCCGCGCCCGGTGCCTGAAAGAGCGCCCG